TAAGAACGCTTCGATCTTTCACCTGTGAGAATTATGCAAAAGGGTTAAAGTGAAATTTGGCCGAAAGGGGAAAGAGGAATTTTGCGAATGCGGTATTAACTCTCTGTTAAACTCGAAACAGAAAGAGCCCGAGGACTGTATAGATGCGACTGTACGAGGATAGCCTAGGCCGCGTTGTGCATGAACGCTTCAGCAACGAAGAATTCGCGAATCTGGGACAGTTTGATCGATAATGGCGTAAACCTGGCCGCGGCAATTCCAGGAATGGCAGCCTAATTGGATCCTCCTTAAATAAGTATTTCAATTTATCCGCAGTCCGCCGTTTCCTAAGGCACGTCTCCCCGCCTCTCCTTTAACAGGGACCAACCTTTCTCGCGTCATCTATCCGAGGAAAGTCGAATCTTAAATTGAACGAACGATCGAAATCTTCGATCGACAATCCTAATTGAAACGTTCACGTTTCCCGATATTTCCTTTCTCGAAGAAAATCGCAAAATCTTACTTTTCTTCCTTTCGTATCAATTTCTTTCCTTTCACGATCAAGTCTCACAAGTACAGACCAATTTTGCGATCAAACGTCGACTGTTTAAAAAAAGAAGGGAAAAAAATGGAAACGGGAAAGGTGGGGATTTTGCGACGGAAGAAAAGAGAAAAAAGATGGAGACTTAACGCAGAACGAAGAGGGAATAAGAGAAAGATGTAAGCAGCCGTATATTAAAAACAGCATGGACGAATGGGCCGCGGCCGGTATCCGCTTTAAAATGTGTATACCGCGAGGGGTTTGTTTGCCCGGGCTCTATTTGGATTTCGCGAGCTACTCGTTCAAGGTCACACGTCGTCTGCAGCATTCATAGTGATGCACCGACGTGCATTCTGCACCGACGTGAATCGATAAACCACAGCAAAGAGATTAAGCTCCGTACACTGGTGTTTCCTATCCGCCGCGAAATTTTTTCGCTGGTCGACGTTTCTTCTTTTCCTCTCGCGTTTCCATCGCGAACGAAATACTTCTCCCTTCAAAATCAGTTGAAAAAGAGAAGGAAAAAGAATTGAAAAAAGCACCCGCCCCGTTATTGGAATTATCAATCTCACCGGTAAACTTTGTTGCTAAACGAATTTATTCAGCGTTCTTACGTGCATTAATGAAGATATTAAACGGAGACTTTTTTTTTTTCGCACGCAACTTCGTACAGCACGTTCCGAACGTTGAAAATGTTTCGAAACTTTCTCCCTTTTTTTTTCCTCTCCCGGCCGAACGCAGGTAACCTCGTGGCCACGCAGCATGGTCAAGCCACAGGAGCATATAATTTAGAGAAACAATTACCGTATCCCTGGAGGAAAGTTGTAACTCGAGTCGGAGATAACTGGCTCGAATTTAATTCCGTGATTAAAGTATCCCCATTGTCGGGGGTATCGATGCTATTTTTTATTTAATATAGTCGACAATTTCGCAGGAAAAATGTTTGCGACATTCTTTTAAGAAGATTTTGTTTAAAAATAGAAATGTAAGTTTGACGATTTAAAAGGGTCTTCGTAATATTCACGAGAGAAATTTCAATGTATCGTTTAACTACGAAACACCCTACGTATGTATGGATTATTTCTAAGAGAAAAATGCTGCCGCGATGGTGAACGACCTTGAACGATCGGCAGATTTCCACCGACCTGTAGACACAAAGTTGCGATCACGTAACTGCACCGATGGTACGCAGCACGTGTACATAACAACAAATCGGAAGTAACAACGTTACGTCATTGGAGCAGAGAACGGAGAGTCAGGTACGCAATAGCGAAATTGGCTTTAGAGTCGGAAAGATGCCGCTCAGCTGGAGTTACGAGAGAAACCCTACGCGATTTTCCAGCCTTACGTTACGTCTATTAGCTGAATTATTCGGGGAATCCGGACAGGGACGATAGTAATGGCGCAAATAAGCTTCGCGGATAAATTCGAAGCGATACTAATTTTAACACGGCTTAACAGACTGGAACGCTGATCCCCTCTGTGTTCTCGGAACACATGTACGGAGATCGTGATGTGAAAACCATTCTGTGATCATGGTCATCCGATATCTTCTTTTTCCGATTCCCTTTTTTTACGGCCTAGCGAAACGAAAATGCCGTTTCCATACGGGCGAACGCTACGACGAATTTTAACGACACCGTAAAAAGTGGTTATTTTAGGAATACGTTGGAAGGAACACGTTAACGCCGGAGATTAGTATACCTGAACATTCCTTCCAGCGAGATCTCACACAGTTCTATCGGCTATCTGACTAATTGAGAACTAAGAATCTCGTACTATCGAACATTGATGCGAAACGAACCGGATAAAAGCTAATTATAAATACAGGGGAGAATTTTATAAATGGCGGTAGTCGCAGATGCTGACATTTTCGAGTTTCTTTTTTTCTTTTTCCTTGTTTTCGGTGCTCGTGTTCTGGACAAACGGATGCAAATATTCGTACGAAGTAACAAGGGTGCGTAAAAAAATTCAGATAAACGAACATATTAAACGATAATTAAATCGCAGCCTCTGTCGAAACATCGAATGTCATAAACATCGAATACGTATCGGCGATTTGAATTCAATTTTCTGAATCAAAATTACATGTTCGTAAGAATACTCGTACACGCACGTACGCACGCTCCGATCCAGAGCACGATACCAATCAATAACACGCACTGATTAATCGTCAAATCGGGGATGAAATTGACAGGTGACATACCGTGGTCGTTTCCTCTCGTAGTCCCGACACTTTCTCGCCGCAGTTTTCTTGAAATTCGCTTGTTGGTCGTCGGGGCACAAATAGATGCACTGAAATTACCACTCGCGACACGTACAAATCTCGTAATTCTTTTCGACACGACCGTCACGACTGTCCTCTCGATTTTCAACGGCGATACGGGAAAAACGTGAAATTAAAGGGCAGCGAAAACACCGCGAACCGGCTGACACGACAAACAACCGCACCTCTGAAGCTTGCAGAAGCAAACTGGCAATCTCTCGTGCAGCAAACTTTCGCGTAAGGGCGCAGCACGCGTTCCGATTGGCAGCGAAACGTACGGCTAAGCCAATCGCGATCGATCGTTCGCCGAACATCATAACAACATTTCTATTTTGCACCACGTTCACCGCGTAAAAGCAAGCATACCACGACTGTACGCCGTGCGTGCCGGACACACGATCGAAAATAAATGTAAAACTTGATTAATTAAACGTCCCTTCTCACAGGCCAATTAAGTGCACGTACCAAGTATGGTTGCTATGGAACTGAGAGGACACGGTACCACGAAGGAGCGTACCGGCTAACCGCGCATGCGTCCACGTGGATCACCATGGTTACGGTGAGTCTGAGAAAACGCGCGCATTTTTTTTCAGAAATTTCTTTATAAATTTTATGAAATAAATCTTAGTTTTAATTACATGTATCAGGTTTTAGGGTAGTTTTCGAAAGATTTTGGATAAGGTTATGTGATAATAATGCATACTCTCCAACTACTGACCCATTGATATACTGAAATTTTCAACGAGATTTGTTACGTACTTGGCATATGATGAACTTGAGGTAGGAAAAATATATTTCGCACTGATATACGTCGCCGTGATCGTTGTATTGTTGAAAGTACTTCAGGTAGCCACTGTTGACGATGAATTTCTCGTAGAGACCGAATTGTTTTCGACGGTAACAGCTTCCCCACAAATAGTTTGATAATAGCACTTCGGTGTAGTAATTTTGGTAATTATAAACGGTATCTTCCGATTCGTATGGACGGACGATGTCGGTTAAACTTGAGATTAGTTTGTTCAGAACTGACATGATACGCACAGCTTGTGATCACTGCTTTATTTTCACCCATTTTATTAACGTACATCTATGATATCGATACGAAATAATTCATCAATGGGTGAAAAATGTTTCGACGGAGGGTTAAAATAAATTACAAATTTTGAGTATAGAAGGATCACGTTATATCGTGCACTGTAGTACTGTAAATCATGTGACTTGATATGAAGTAATTAACACAACATTGCACTCCGAAGAAAACAACGAATATATCGATTAATCCTATACAATTTGATATAACGCGTATTTCACAGTTATTCGTATAGAGAATAAAAATGCATAAAAAATATATGACACTCGTTTAATCTTTTCATAAACGTCTTTGTTCTTCCCTGCGTATAAAAATGAATATGATAATATTTTTTACACGTGTATTAGATATTCATGCAGAACAGGGTCACTATTTTTGGAAAAGATTTAAAAACGGCAAAAAAATTCGCAATTTTAAATCCTTCATTAAAAAGTATACATCAAAATTTGTCGATTAATTGCAATATGTGTTGTTGCTCCGCTTCCCTCCATTCCGAATCGCCAGCATCGCCAAGATTTCCCGCGTATTCTGATAAAAATAATAAAAATTTACAATTACGCGAAACAACATTCTAGAATGAAAACATACCTCTCATGATGTGTCTGATAGTTTTGAGCGACGCTCTCCTTTGAGCTAAAATTCGTGTTACTCGTTGTTTCACTGCAGGTGGACAACCGGTACATGCTTCTAACAATACGTAATCTACTAATTGCAAGATGAACAACCCACCGTCTAATCTTCTCAGGTACGAGTCTTCTTCATCTTCATCTTCCTATAATTAAGATACAGATGAATATATTTAAAAATGAAACAGTTAAAAATTTACCAACCTTTGTATTTTTTTCCACTTCCTCCACTTTCTCGAGGTATTTAAAATGAAGCTCCATCAATCGATCTACTTTTTCGTAATCATTTTCCGTGAATTTACTCAATAGCCTCTGGCGCTGTTGACCTTTACAATTTCTTAACATACTTGCTATAATTGATACTACATGTTCTACAATAATAAAGTTCTGTCAAAATACTGTTAAGCTACGTGAATTAAAATAAGCCGGATATATTTTTCAATTACCTTCGTGTTCTTCTGCACTAAGCATTCTTTTTCGATTTTTTGTTGGAGTTTTCATGAACAACGGGAATATAGTTCTTAATCCGAGAATATCGACAAATTTACTACAGTTATCTTTTCCGTCCGGGCCATTCATTGCGTGATCTAATACCTGAAGTATGGCATTATAATTTATCAACATTGTAACATAATAAACATCATTCAAATTTCTTTTTACCTTAAGAGACCCATTCCTAGACATTTTCTTTTCTCGCAACATTAAATTCATAAGTTGTAATCCCTCCCCCCTTAAAAATCTATCCCTGTTTACAGTTGCCATTAGGCTTGAACACAGTACATTAAATAAATTTTCCATCATTTCCTGCTCCTCAGCCGTTTGAGGATCGTGCCTTTTGTAATACTGAAATTAATGTAAATTACTTAAAAGAAGCATTAAAAGATAAAAAAAAATTATACATACTGCTAGTTGTTGCAGTAATACATCAATTCCATCAAGTTCACCAAGAAGTAGCCTGTTTTCTGGTGTGTTTTGTAAAAGAATAGATAAAAGTTCACTAGCATAAAGTTTATTAGCATCAAATGGTGTTTTTGCTTTAATTCTTCGTAACAGCCATTGCATTAATCCTTGTTTTCCTGCATCAGCACATAGCTCTGGCCTGAACTCCAAAAGATTTTCAAAGATAGCTAAAAACCCAACACAATACTTTAATATAACAATTAAAAATTCCCTGACATAAATACAATTACCTAAAGTATTGTAAACTCCATCACTCTCTTCTTTTACTGATTCATCCAGTCTTTCTAAGTTTTGCACAAGAAGAGCACAAACTTGTTGCTCTAATAAAGCATCAATTAATGTATCTGCACCTTCTTGGCTTTCGTGTAAAATATCAACATCTGTCAACTCCTGTAAAAGATCCACAACCCCAACTGCTATGTCTGTATTCTCATGTGACAATAATTCAAGCAGAGATGGTACAGCACCTAGCTCTACCATTAATGGATAGAGATCTGGATTGGTAGCAACAACATGAAGTTCCTGAAGAGTCTCGTGCAATTCCACTTCTGATTCCATAAATCTGTAAAGTTCAAAATTATAGTTCATGTGTAATGTTCAAGTTTGATCTCCAATGCATGTTGTTTAAATACGACATACTTCTCTGGTTGATCAGGAAATTTCACCCTCATTTCTTGATTCCTAAGTGCTCTCTTTTCAAATAAGAGAACCATTCTTTTAAGTGTTGCTTCATCCAATGCCTCTACTTCAGGAGCTTCAGTTTCTACATATTTTAAAATATCCTGCTTTTCCTTTTCTGTCAACTGTGGTTCAACTACATCATTCGCTGGAGAAGGTAAAGCAGCTCTGATAGGTGTAGGTGGTTCATTGCTTCTAACCGGAGTTACTTCAATTTCTCTAGGCTGTCTTTGACGTGCATGATATGGAGTTTTAATCACTCTCTTTGGTTTTTTGGCATTTTCCCACTCATCCTCGTCATCTTCTTCTCCTGCTACAGGTCTTTTAGGTGTGTTCGGTGGCTACACATTATAAACATGAAATTAACAGCAATTAAAAATAATTTGCACTTTGTGTAGTTAGGTTAACAGAAAAATTTCGACAGTAAACTTTTTAAGCGTGTTACAGATAATATTTTATTACGAACGTACTTTGTACGAGAGTAATTCACCGATATCCATTTGTCAAAATGATTGATTTCCTCTTAAAACGAATTACGTACAACAAACGCGATTCAGTCGCCAGCCTTAACCGATATATTTCATTATTATAAGTAACTCCCTGAAAATGTCAAAAAATTACACATATTGCGTTACACTATAAAAATGGACCATTTAACCGAAGAATAAATTGTTCAATTATATTTATTAACGTATGTAAATTTCTCATTATTTATAAAAATGTTTCCTACATACTAATTATTCCTAAAGATGTCAGTAGTTTCCATTTCATTCAATAGGAGAATACTATTTCACTTTTGATGACTTAAAAATAATATAGTTTTTATACTTTTTGCCACGTCATAAATAAAAAATGTTATCGAAATTTTCATTAATTGTTGACGATTTACAGTCTTTTCCAAGTACGATATTTTTGACATTCCTGTTTTTTATATTAATAAAAAAACCTTCGAATGGTATTACCAAATAGATTTTGATAACCACTGTTACAGGTATTTCGTCTGACATTAGTGTTTGTAGTACGTAAGTACACGTCATAACTTTCGTAAATATTAATGGACAGCTGAAACTATTTATTTAAAAATATGGAACCGTTGTACCATCAAACAAATATATTAGTTCAGGAAACACAACACCTTTTCTCACAACTAGGGCAAAAAACGCCTAACCTGGACGTTAAAGATATAGAAAACAACATAGAATCAAAAATAAATCTCATCAACAGGTAGTTATTTAAAAAAACCTTTATTTTATACATATTAAACAGAGTATTCATAGATTTACATATACATTTACTCTATATTTGCATAAAGAAATACACAAATTTCAGATTTTATTCATTTTATGCAATTATTTTTTAGTAACTGTGAAAGATTAGATATATTGTGTCTTAAAGGCCCTATATATCAAAGACAAAATGCTAAGATGCGGGTGGATCAATTGAAATATGATAGCCGTCATCTTACAGCTGCCTTAAATTCTTGGCGCAATAAAGTGATTAAAAAGCAAAGAGAAGAGGCTGAAAGAGAGGCATTGTTATCTAGACAGTTTACCACAAATGATCATGTTGATATCATGATAGATCCTAATACACAACACAATTATAGTTTACAAAATGCACTTCAAGGTATGGATGATCTTCTTCAAAGTGGAAGTAGTATCTTGGGTAGCTTAAGATCACAAAGACTAACTTTAAAAGATGCTCACAAAAAATTAATAGACATTGGAAATGCATTAGGACTTTCAAATACCACAATGAGACTAATAGAACAGAGAGCAAGACAGGATGGATTTATTTTAGTTGGTGGAATATTATTCACATGTATTGTTATAATTTTAGTTATAATTTATTTCAAATAGGGACAGCATCTCTCATTTTTAATTATATGTAAGGTGATACAATTAACTCTTGTTAATGACATAAAAAGCAGATGTTTCTAATACTGTATAAAGAAAGTTGACAGACATGTTTTTATTACATGAGAGATATACAATATATTTGAATTAGCAGTGTTGAATGCTTCAACCTTTATACGTTAAATTAAATGTTGCAATTTAAAATTGAAATTTGTAATTGTTGCTAATTACATATTAATAAACATGTATTTGTATACAATAAAATAAGAATTAAAAAATATATACTCAAACATTAGGCAAGTTACACTTTAATTCGTTCAATTATGTATTTCGTTAATAAATTATTATTAACGATTATTAATTTATTATCAGTTGTATGTCACTTTGATAAGTGTAAATTTAGATAGAAACAAATTACGATATATTTCTAACAACCACAATTAATTCACATGTTGATATATGGCAAGCTATATTTAAATATAAAGTAAAATTATGATTGTGGTTACATTTAGTTCGTTATAAATATGCACATATGTGTGTAAGCGCGCTGAAATTAAGGAGATTCGAATGAGAATCACAGAATGTAGACCTCACGGTTGGTTTACATGAGTTGCGTAGCGTGAACTATACAAGTAACTTAAGTATTAATTTATTTAACGTTATTTATACGTATTGTATTAAAATAAAAGCATATGCTTCTTTATTTACGCGCTATTTAAGTAAAAATTTAATGCCTTTGTTACGTGGGTTCTTGGGGAATTTGAGAGAATTGTCGCCCGTGGAGTACTGAAGTACTCTGCTCACAATGATTTTAGGAAGTTAAATGAATAAAGAAAACTAACGTTGAAACTTTTAATAAACTAATAAATAACTTAATAAATAACTTGACTGGAACAATAACGAAATGTTTAAATATAACTTTATTACGAGATAATACGTCTGAGCTCTTTGAATGAAGAAAATTGAATTGCCTGTTCAGACGTCGTTGACTATTATTTATAATGTTTTACAAGCTTTTGTTAAAACAATCGTCACCAATTAAACTAAACATCTTGAATAAAGTTATCTAAGGACGAATTTGATTGGTTCTCAACATTTGTTTATCAATACATATTTCCTTTAAAGCGAGTGTTTTACACCTCAGCAATGCTTTGTCCATAGCGACATTGCAAATAGTAATCGATGAGATTTACTGCACACTGTATGTACTTGTTTTGGGTTCTTTTGTTCATTGCTTCGGCTACACCGCTGTACAATTTGAATTTGGCGCGCTTTAACATTCACACTACGAGGCGCCACATAACACCAGATACAGACCGCCCTAAAGCCACGTTCATGGGCATGCACGACGAGCGATTAAAACTACGTTCACGCGATAGCGTAACACATTATTATCATCTGAGTAATAAATCAATGATTTCTATGTATAGTGAGTTGCCATGATATTTCCCAAAATCCTAAAACAACTCAATGTAAGTTACTTATATTCGATAACGACAATAAATCATGCTTGCGAGAACATTGACTCGTATCTAAGTGTTACAAAAAAGAAAAAAAAGAATTAAATAACTGCAAAGCTGATCACCTGAACTTATAGAAAAAACCAGAAAAGAGATCTATTCGGTCAGGAATACCCTTTACGTAATTCCATATTCTGGTGACGAGTCGCAAAATCTAAAATCACTCATTAAGTCAACACGGAAAATATTATATATCTACATATAATTTATAAAATTATTGTAGACATTATAAACCAAAATTTACATATTTTTGTTAAAATATTTTTCAGTTTATTGTTTTAAAGATAAAAGATTCATAATTTATACAGAAATGGATGTGTAAATGATGAATACAATCTTTTGTTGTGTACGCATATACGCATCTTCATTCTGTTAAGAACTCGAACATTGTTTAGTAAAATTGTGTCTATTTTTATAAGTAACCTACAGTATAATTCATATTCAATATAAGAAAATGAATTAATAAATTATGTCGCCACGTTATATTTCTGGAAATCGTTTTTATATTTAAGAACGAATTTCATTTTTTTTCGTCATTTTGAGTGAAGAGACTGCACATGTTACTGCAAGATTATGTAATCATTTTGTTTTATTTTAAGGTTCTTAAGGTTCTGTAAAAATAAGTGTTTGTGATATATTTCGAATTCACAAGTGAAAATTCATTCATGTGCTGCAGAGTTTTATTTTCAAAATAGTTGATTTAGGTAAGTAGAAGTTATTTTCTTTGGCTTTGCCCATTATAGTTTCTTTTATTATTTTAAAATTTATTAAAAAAGACAGGGAGGAGAGATATCTATTAATAGGAAATTAAATATAAATATAGAATAAGGTGAACAAAAACAAATATTAACATTGGATCATTTTAGAATGTCTTTCCCAAGTAAAGAAGACCGTACAAGGTGTTGGAATCATAGGGATGAATATTGGAAGTGCCTTGATGATGGTAAAACAGAATTAGAATGCAAAAAATTTAGAGAGCAGTATGAAAAATTTTGTCCTGCACTATGGGTAAGTTCTACATATTGCAAGATTGATTGTATTAATAAGAAATAATAAGAAATCATTTTTCTGTATGTAATGCTTCTCAATTTTTAATGATATCTTCACATTTATCATTTTTTACCAGGTAAAACACTTTGATCGTAAGAGAGAGTACTTGAAATTCAAAGAGCAACTAGAACAAGGGGGGTATGTTCCTGGAGAGCAAAATGCAATATAAGATATAAAACTAATTTAGTGACTGTAACTTATAATTTATTACATTTCAACTAATAGTTACTGAACTACTTTCAAATTAAGTTTTCTTATTTTTATTACTTATAATAAACTGAATACTTACAAAGTAACATAAATCTGTCTTATTATATTGTATAATGATCCTTAATCCATTATATTAAAAGCAGTTAACTTTTTTCTTCTTCAGTATTATAATTTGATATATAGAAAGTTTTATGCAGAAGGCTGATTTGATGGCTGCTGAATAATATGCTTATTTACATAATTTATTATCTTTCGAGCTTTTTTTAATATTTTTTATGGCTTTGCAGGAATTAATTATGTTTTTTATTTACTTTTATATTAGCTAAAATAAAAAATAAAGCTTTAAACAAACAACATTATTACCTATTAATTACAGGACATGTACCCTTGATGGAGATAAAATAGAGGGGCCTGATTCAACTGCACAAACTTCAAAAGCAGTTTTTAATTTTCAAACAACAAATATAAATTCATATGATTAGCGGACGGCAGTTTACTGAAAACGAACTTTCCGGCGGGACGGCTGAGTGGAAGTAGAGGCCGCCACACTCTCGTTCATTCCACTCAGCCTCTCACTCATTCTCTCAGGTTATATTCACAATATAAACATCCTCAAATCGGGAACAAGAATACAAATAACATTCACAATTAACCAATGGAAATGTTTGTTCCTGAATTATAATAACAAAATGTGTACAAAAAATATGGAATTGAATCATATAATTAAAGAATTGCAAACCTGTACAGAGGACACTATTATTTTCAGAGTCAGTCTTTGTTAGAACAGTAATCACATAGTTTCATTTACACCTTGTGTGTTATTTTAAGCATAAAGTAATTTATTTTTATCTTTTTAGAAGTTGATAAATTTTGCTTCATCATGCAAAGAATCATGGGATGATGAATATATAAAACAATGGCAACCAGTTCTGGTACATATTATAGAAATCTTCATTCCAAATACAGAAATAAGAAGAGAAAGGACATTATTGGCTTCCCACACATTTTTCGTTTTACTATCAATGCAGCCTACTTCGGTTCTTCTAAAAGATACTTTTACTAATTTTTTAACGTTTAAATGTAACGAAGTATACGTATTCGATAAAAAATACGGTATCAACGAACCCGAATTGTTCAAACTAATTTGTGCTCACGGGTATTTACAAGCGAATCGTAAGGAAATGTACTCCAATGACATTTGTCTTCTAATTTTTGATCTTATATTCGAACATTGCGTAAGGTATACGAAACATTCTTATTTCGCGTATAAAATATTATACATGTGGTTGCAAAGAACTATGAATACAAATCTTTGGAGCACATGCTCGGCGGACTTACACATCGAGCAGCAACTTGAAAAAATTATTTTCTCAAATTGGCATAATGCTATCAATGAAATAAATAAGCAAAATTCAGCGCTTATTTTTAATATGTACCTGAAAATTATGGATAAAAAGTATAGTGGATACCTAGAATATCTATTTAAGCATTGCGTCGATACAATTTCATGGCAGAACGAATTAAAGTACGATATACTCGCAGAGATTTGTGAAGTCTGGGACAAAATTGAAGTTATGACGTCCCGTGACTTTTTACTTTCTCTGTGTACAAGCTTAACGAAATATTATTTGCGTTCAGCGGGTACGAAAGTTTACCTTGCCATTGTAAAAAAGTTAAGCGAAAATGAGTGGGAAAAAGCATTTGGAGATATAATAAATTATCTCTTCCATCATTGGGAATCAGTGGAAAAGTGAGTTGAAGTACTTACTTAGTCCTTGTGTATGATCAAAATTTGGAGTTAAAATATGACGATTTTGATTGCAGTGAAAACTATGATGCTCTTCAGTTACTCTGGAAACACTGGCTTAAACCAGTCGTTAAAAAATACAGAAATATCTTACCGTATTTATGGGAATTGACCAGAGATATAAAGACGCATTTTATCCGTTCGCATCTTCAAAAAATCGCCTGTGAAATGCATATTGTTCTTCCACAACAAGCAAGCGTTGAGTGTTATATATATCGCAGTAACAAGATCGTGAGATTGAACGGATTTGCCATAAACTGTTATGAAGCGATTAACATTTACAATGAGAATAAAGATCGATTCTTTACAATTAGAAATTTTCTATGGCACAATGCAAATAGTACAACAGTCTATATGAGAGATAGGATTGTGAAATATTTTAAAGTATTTTATGCTAATGTCTTAAAGATGTGTGATAGCAGAACAGACTGCATACATGATGTATACTATATCACATATTGGCTGCATGAATTTCTATTAGATTGCTTTGAACTAGGTTCTTGTTATCAAAGAAACATTCTAGGAATAAATTTATATGAAGCTATACTTTCTTTTACCGATGGGCATGTGATAAATAAATCCAATAATATGGAAAATACATTGATAGAAAAACATTTGAAAACTACTGACAATTGGAAATTTACAAACAAAAGAAGTTTAATTGTTTTAATAACACTTGCGTTAAATTCTACGCTTGATGTTAAACGAATAGCCATTTCTGTTATTCTTAAATACTTCGATAAAAATATTTTATCTGACATGGACAAACGTGTAAGAAATTATCCTTTTACCATCAAATTTTTTTTATCTTAGAAAAATTATTTAAAAAAAGTATGATTCATTTAGGCATTATTCGGGATGGTATTGAATAGTAATACCTGGAACCGTGACGATACCGAAAGTGGCGCAACTCTTATGTTAATTTTAGCAAATTGGCTACCTCCTATAGACAATGTCCTGGTAGTAGATGAACACGGAAGAGACATAGATTATAATAATTCAAAATATTCAAACTACTTATTAATTAAAGCTACAAAGCAGTTAACTGACATGAAAAGAAATATACACCTAACAGTTTTATACCAGCATCATCCATTTTATGGTTTAATGGCAGCTTTATTAAATATTACTTTTCGCAATGGCCCGGAAAGTTCCTGCTTGACCTTACAGTTTGTCGAAAAAACATTAGATCTATTGGAAGATGCTGTAGATTTCGTCCTAGCTAAGCTTTATTTGGGATCAAAGAATAATGGTACACCCTATTCAATTTTTAAATCAGCTGAAACTCAGCTAAAATAATTAAATTTTTTAATCGAAATTTTAGAGAATTATTCATCATCGTTCGCGAAAACGGGATTAGCAATTAATACAATGATTGAAAATAGCAAGTTAGATGATAACGATTTTATCTTGAAAGTTACTGGATTAAAAATTTACAACATTTGGAAGTGTTTAAAAGTAAATATCTTATTTTTTTTACACTTTCAGAAAATACATTTCGTCTGTAACCGAAATAAAATAATCAAATGTTTTTTTCATGCAGATCTCCTGTGAGATAGCTAGTGAAATAGGTGCATTAATGTATACAGACGAAACGGTCAGGCGTTCCATTAATATTATCGTTACTGTATTACTCAGATGTAGACATAAAGGTGCAGTGGACGCTGCGGGTACAGCAATAGGACATTTAATGAGGTATAAATGAAGTTAATTCACAGAAAAGTGATCTTACACTTATATGAAATTAATCGTTTCAGATGTTTATGCAAAGAATCTAAGTATTCTGATTTGCCAAAAGAACATATATTATGTATATTAGAACATCATTCTAAACTATATTTAAAAAGTATCACAAGAGTTGATGTGTTATCAATAATGTTTCATAGAATTGTCCTTAGCGATAATCGAAAGGATAGACCTCTTCTACATTTTGCTGTAAAAAGATTGTTAAATATTCTGGACAATACTTGCGACGACATTTTCAAGTGTACAAAGGCCCAACCTAACTCACCATCGGCGAGATATTTACATTTCTTACGGGCTTTAGTGTCTGATAAAGAAATGCACGCACAGTTGATCCCGTATATAGAAAGAATTTCACTGACCTGTTTCAGATATATGCAATGCGAAGTATGGAACATAAAAAATGCTAGTCTACAATTGTTTGGGTCAATAGTACCAAGATTAGTAGGTCAAAATTCTGGTGACAAGTTAGAATTTGGAAATAGATACTCAACTAATCATTTTGTCACGCATTATCCTGTGCTCGCAGATTACATTATGGAAGAATTGCAGAGATTCTTGTCTATGTGCAAGGAACGTCCCACCGCGCTATATCCACATTCGAGTATCGTTCACATTCTTATACTTCTGTCACAATTTTCAAGTAGCGCTTGCAACTTGATCGATTACTCTTCGCAAAACTATGTTTTACAAGTGAAATATTTACTTCATATGTTCTTCAAAAGTCCCATTTTACATGTTAGACTTTTAGCTGCGAAAGCGTACGCGGGCTTGACAGATTTTTTACAAATTGAACTTACTTTTGAGAAATTAAAACGGACAATTTCTTCCTGTCGGAATATTAATTTGATCCATGGATATTTATTGGCAATGAAATTTCTGAAGGAAAAATTTTCCGTTGAAATGGAAAATATGAACTTGCGTTCAGATGTTAAACAGTATAAAAAACTAAGACTTCGAGATATATCAGAAATTTGGAACAATAACCCACAAAAATGTTATATATTAGAAAAGCTATTTCTACAACTACAAGAAACATTTACCGATGAATTATACCACTTTAACGTAAACGTATCCCTGCTTTCTTCCGAGAAAACAAAACCAGGATTTTTCCAATTCATTAATCATTCTACAAAATTGTATGCAGACTACATTAACCGTACAAATAATATTGATATTGTTATTGTACAGACAATTTTGGACTCCTCTTGTATCGATCAAAGTATTTCTTTTATAAATCATGTATCACCTTCTGTACCAGTGATGAGAATCGTTCTTAAGAATTTAATGTTGAACAAACACAATGAATTACTTCTTAGTAGAATGACTAATTATGTTCTTAAAACTTTAAAACATTGTCCATTATCGGACATAAAAGAAATTTCGTTTGCCGAGATAGTGAATCTTTCAAACGGTCCAGTTCCCTTACCGGAGATGTTAAAAGACGTATTGGTAATAATATTTTATGACAACATGGAAATGATATTTCCACTACTGTTCCATTATGTTGTTTTCTATAGTATGCACCCGGATGAACATTTTAGACGATTAGCAGCGGAATATATGCATTTATCGGTTCGTCGTTTCACAGAATTTACAAAGAAATGTAAATTAATTATTTTACATGGCTGTCTAATTTTACTAAAAGATGAAATCCCTGAAATAGGTGAAACTATAGCGAAGAGTTTAAGAATATATGTTCTACCAACAATTAGTACCAAGTATGATATGTTAGAACATGGCGAATATATATATCAAAAATTATTATTCGAAGTCATGGCTGAAAGATTAAATTTTTCTAAGGAAAAGGACATGAATTTACTTTTTATGAAGTTGTTCACTATGAGTATTGAGAAGAATTTCGGAACAGAATGTCTAATGGCGAATTTAAACGACGATGATTTATTGTATAGATATAATTACTATAGAGAGGAGTCAAAATTTCTAAATCTTTGTTTTTACTACATGAAACGAAGGCACAACCGTGATAAGTACCCTACAAAAGATGATACGACAGAATGTAATAATGAAAATGATCTACACATTGTAAATCAGATTGAAAAGATACATCAATTCGAACAAATGTGTTATTCGGACGTGACAACAACTGTTTCATATAGGCATTGCACAGCTCATTTATTAATTAAGCAAAGACTTGTAACATCCGAGTACAGTAATGATTCTGATTCTGATGAATCTGAAGCAGAAAGGAATTTGAGCCAGATTGTGAACCAGCTTGAGAACCAGCTTACGCACCTCATATCCCGTGTTTTAGCTTGCGAATGAAAGAGAAGGATGAAACGAGAGTCAAGGCAATCAAGCGATTTAAACACCAACTTTTTTAATTTTACATTTTTTTATCTGAAATTTTTCTTAACATATTGGTGAGATTTTTCTGATGAAAATAAGATCAAACGCGATATTATTTGAACAACATTTACTTATTAATACTTATTGAGTGATTAATTTCATTTAATAATATATCACTTTGGATGAATTACAAAAATGAATTGCTAGAAAAATACATTAAATACCTGTACAGATTGTCCGTCGAATGTGGAGGGAAAGACACCGTTTGGTGAACAGTGTGGGAATCGGGATACCATTCGGTGAATAGTGTGAGTGAGAATCGAGACACCGTTTGGTGGACAGTGTAAGAATCAAAACACCGTTCGGTGGACAGTGTGAGAATCGAGACACCATAATAATAATAATAATAATAATAATAATGTACAATTTTAATGAAATAAATGGTAAGAAACATTACTTGGTAAATAATAACTTAACTTTCTTTATCTAACACACGGTACTCTTGTTATCCTTGTCTAACTCGTTTCTCTAGTGGTATCCTTATCTACCCCCTATTTCTTTCCTTGTCTAACTTACAGAGGATACATTCCCTCCTTTTCTGTCTTCCCGTTTCTTTTCTATCGTATGGCACATATTTGTAAATAACAAAATAAATTCTTCATAATTAGCAATTAATAACTTTGTTTTTCTTTTAATTGCAAATTTAAGGCCACCTACAAATTCTAAGGTTGTGTGTTAAGGTATTCTCGAAATAAATGCTTTTTAACCCATCAAAGTACACAAGAGATATTTAATAGACCTGAATAAATACATCTGTACACCTTACGGAGAATACGAATGTGTACACATTCACAAAGCTTATAACTTTTTTTCTTTATGTATTTACATTATGCTACATATATTAATCGTATCAGAATATTATAGAAAATTTTGAACGATCATAGAATATAATATGGTATGTTACACATCGCTTGGTTTTTCATCCTTTAATGTCCCGTTTTTTTTTTTCATACTTTTATCATATCTACAATGTGTGTGTGTGTGTGTGTGTGTGTGTGTGTGTGTGTGTGTGTGTGTGTGTGTGTGTGTGTGTGTGTGTGTGTGTGTGTGTGTGTGTGTGTGTGTGTGTGTGTGTGTGTGTGTGTGTGTGTGTGTGTGTGTGTGTGTGTGTGTGTGTGTGTGTGTGTGTGTGTGTGTGTGTGTGTGTGTGTGTGTGTGTGTGTGTGTGTGTGTGTGTGTGTGTGTGTGTGTGTGTGTGTGTGTGTGTGTGTGTGTGTGTGTGTGTGTGTGTGTGTGTGTGTGTGTGTGTGTGTGTGTGTGTGTGTGTGTGTGTGTGTGTGTGTGTGTGTGTGTGTGTGTGTGTGTGTGTGTGTGTGTGTGTGTGTGTGTGTGTGTGTGTGTGTGTGTGTGTGTGTGTGTGTGTGTGTGTGTGTGTGTGTGTGTGTGTGTGTGTGTGTGTGTGTGTGTGTGTGTGTGTGTGTGTGTGTGTGTGTGTGTGTGTGTGTGTGTGTGTGTGTGTGTGTGTGTGTGTGTGTGTGTGTGCGTGTGTGTGTGTGTGTGTGTGTGTGTGTGTGTGTGTGTGTGTGTGTGTGTGTGTGTGTGTAAGATGAAGTAAGTTTTCATAATTACAATTCACTAAATATTTAAATATTTTACAATTATTAATACATCTTATGTTACAAAAAGAAAGAAAATTTGAAATAATTTGCTATTCACTTCTGATCGCGATAAATTTTCTCGTTGGTGTCTGCAAACTACTTTTCCTAGCAGAGATAGCCCTAGCGACTATTTGATCCGCCTCCGTGATATGTCGCTAACGATTACAGTAAATTTCTTTGGTGATCATCATCTCTATTTACATCGGTGTTTATATTAATAATTTCTAAGGTGTATCTAATCTCACAATCATCTTCAGGAATAACAATTTTTTTCTTTTTCTCGACAAAGAAATTGTGCACACACACTTGCGAGTGTTTCTTTTCTATTTTTTTTTCTTTTTTTATTAACATTAAGTAGCAGACACTACCTAGACAAATATTAAACTAACGGTATTTATTACTATTGCTATTAACAGTAAATGTAGATGGTATACACATGAAACTATATAGTGAACTAAGTAAAAAATTACAATTATCTGAGGTTTTAAATCGTAAAGCAATGAAAACCCATTGGAAGTCAATGCTTTTAGACAAAAAAGAAAAACAAAACTGTCTAATGATAATTATTCCATTTCAAACTAAAGTTTCACGTATTTTACAATTAATGTAACAATCGAAATCTTCGACAGAAATGACACCATTAAATAATTTCTTTTAAAATAGATTCGTGTAAGCAAAAGATTTAATACATTTTATACTTGTTCGAATATTTAACATCATGGCATGAACAATTATCTCCGGAAATTTGTCAAAAGTGTCTTCTCTTTTTTTTTTTTTTTGCTTTTGTATTTTATCCAATTAAAATTATTTGATGTAAATTTCTATTACGAGTGAAATACTCCTCTACTTGCAGGAGTATAAAAGCTTGTGCTTGTAATCATAGAAGCACCGTTATCCTTTAATACGTTGCATAATTTTGCATAATACAGTAGAAGTATCAGGAACCATTATTTTGTTTCTCTCTTCTTTTTTTCTTTTTACACAGTTGGATTGAATATGCAGCAGCAAGCCATAAAAATATATTCTCCTTAATTTGATATCTTTAAATAGCACGATTTTCAACCCCTCAAATTCATTATTCTATAAAACTAATAAAAGAAATCTTCATTGTGATATATCTTTGATAAAATATAAAATACTTTTTGTTAAAATTTCAATGAAACGGTATTCCTTTCCTTGAGCATCATTTTTCTAGCGACAAAACGTTCGTCAAGATCATTGCTGTTTCATATTTTAAATAAAATAACTTGATGGCAATGATCGTGTCGAATATTTTCTTTCCTAATATTCTCACAAATGCCGTAAAATTGTATCATATTTGAAATTGCTATTAGTAATGTTCCATGTAATCGTTATTGATAACCTGAACGATTAAAAGTTGGAAGAAGTGTGGAAACTTCTCTTTCCTTTCCAATATCTTTTTTATTTTTATTTTTTTTTTATAAGGAATGGAAGATTGTCTAATATTTAACAAATTTTAATGTTATTATGTAGCTTGAATCTACAAGTAAAAAATGTCTTCTCATCTTCCGAATTCATTAATCTTTTTTTTTTGTGTGTGTTTTTTCATTCTTTTTTTATACGCCCAGAAATGCATAGGCAGAAATATAAGAAATTTCATCCGGTACCAAGATCTTATGTAATAGTGAGATAACGAGTAAAGTTGTGTCAAAAACGTTTTACGTGAATGAAATATAAATAAACAATTTCTCTTTTGATATTCTTTTTGTTTTATCTGTATTTTTTTACTCTAATTTCTGTAACACAAATCATTGTAAATTTCTTATAAATTTTTTCGACAAAAAATGCATGCAAAACATGAAATCGGTACAAACGTAACAGTATTACAGCGATGAAACTTCACAATAATATCTAGTTAATATTTGAGCACGGGTAAAAAATCGTTGGAATAATGAAATAGTCACAAGATACCTTGATTATCCGTGTATGAAATTGTCATTAATTCTCTGATGTACAAATTATTCTGTTTTCTTTTTTTCCATAGTTGTCATCAAGCAATACATAATTTATTTTAACATTGTAAACTATATCACTTTCTTTTTATTATCTTTATAATCTTATCAATTCTTCATCCGTTTATTAATTTTTTAATCTTCCCTCATTCGAAATAAGTAATTTCGTATTTTAAATTACTTTCATTAGTTAAAATGAGACTTTAACGTCCCTTATGCATACCTAGTAATATTATATGCTACAGAATACAATCAATTTACTCCAAAGAAAAATTAATTTATGCATCCGCAATTACGTACAATGGATATTTAAAAATGCTTATTATATTTGCATTTGGATGCAAATTAATTTAATTAAATTTATTTCTTCTCTTAGACGTGTATGCTAAATGTCTTTAATGGAATCACATTTTTTTTTTACTCATATTGCTTAATAAAAATTCCATTTCAGACATATTACAGAATATAATTATACTAAAATTAAGGCTATCTGAGAATAAATTCACACATTTCTTTTCTATATTAATAATTCATCCATATATGCATTTATATGGATCAGTGAACCATGCGTAAGTTCTATGAGAATTGTTGCTTGTACCTGGTGCTCGTAATGCGAAATCGCACCAGTTTAAGGGCCAAAGCGATACAACTAATAATAGAAATTGCAAAACTCAATTGAATTATGGACAAATACCTTTTACATGATATTATCGATTATCAAAGTGCCTGTGATTATTTTTCTCACGTTTGGTATTCAAAAGTATAGTCATTTGTTATTTAGCCGTCTGTCCAAGACCCACAGATGATTTCGTTTTTTGCGATGATTCAGCTGTTTCGTTCGGCTGATCGACATCCATCTGAAACATTCACAGTCAAGAGTTTAATGATTAGTACTACGTAACAATGTAAACAGAGTATCTCATAGATATCGTACCTTCTCTTCCTTTTCATCGTCAATTAGTATCGGACCATTTTCAGCCTCGTATTCTTTTAAAACCGCATCTAAGTTATACCTCCGTCGATAATTCACGAAAAACGATCGTAAATGAGCTTCCGTCTTGGTTCCAATTACATCAGCGATCGCAGAAAAATCTTTTCCATATTTCCTAACACCTTGAACGGCTAATAGTAGTTCATCGTTTGTCCAACGGGCATTTATACGACTCGATACTTCTGGTGGTCGCAAATCATCGATACCATCGGCCGTTTTGCGTTTCAATGCGCTAACTTGTTGTTTGTTCGATTGTATCTGTATATTAAAAAGTTAAAAATATTTTATTTAGTAAGTTCAGATTTTTTAATGAAGTGATAATAAAGAAAAAATATCGATTTTCATAAAAAAAAAAATGTATCCACACGTTTGATGTTATTTACTGTTTTTAATTCTTTTTAATTTTTTTTTATAAAAACGTACTTGGCGTTTTAAGCTAACAATTTCGGTGTCAATTGCTTGTAAACTGTTGTTCGCTTGATTGGGTTGGCCAGCCAATGCCGCTAAATCATCGTGATTAACAACGAGACCGCGAGGTGGTTTTCTTTTATTTGTACGACCTGGCATGGAACTTAACGGTCTTGCTACCCCAGTTCGCCTAAATCATTTGAATAAATTTGTAATGTATAACTTCTGATTCATCAAAATTATCATATCTGATCTACAATTATTTTCATTTTACAAATTCTTGAATAATATTAGTCAGTGCATCGATAAGAATGCTCATGCATTAGTAATGAAAATTATTGTACTTATTAAATATTTAGACTTCATTCTCTGTATTCCGTTGGTACACAATGAAACACGTGCATGATCATTCTCATTTGAAAAAGGGTCCAACAATTTTTTTAATTACTGATGTTTAATTTGACTTGCACTCACTGACCTCCAGTGCAGATAGCAGCTGTGACACGCATGTCCTTTCGGCGTCGCACGAACACTATGACAAGCAACGCCACAGTTGCTACACGAGCCCTACAACACATAATACCCTTTTAAAATAAGTTCTGACAATCCCCCCACCCTCTCCCTCCGTCTTTTCAAACATTTATCTAAACTAATCTCTAGGAATAATCTTTCTTTTTTTTTTTTTTTATGATAAAGAAAACAAAAAGAGAACGATGGAATATGTACATAGGCATCTTTAAAATT